TTAAAACCAGTATGTTGGCTGCCTGCTGTAAAAGAGTTATTTTCTAATGATTTTTGTGTGGGATTTCCCACACTTTTTCAACGCCAGGGATATTTATTTATTTATTTATTTATTTGTCCACGAGAGCAAAGCGTTTGTCACGTGGTTTCTACTTGGCGTGTAGACTGGGTTCCACTAGCAAAAGGTTGAGTGTTTTTGGCCGGCAGCCATTAGATGTGTGATTACCCTTACCGGGTGTTGTTTTTTGGCGAGTTTTGACTTGTTTTTGAGATTCGGAGGGAGTCTTAGGCCTCAGGTCTTAGTGTTTTTCGGACACTCGCTGCCGTATTTATTTTTGACGCGCCATTTATTTTAAGGTGGGTAAACATTTGCTTTTTGTATATGCGCGAAATTCTTGGATGAATAAGGAATAATCAATCAATTATACAACAATTATACAAAGTTCCATTTCTCGGACAGAACTTTCTGCGATTACATATTTAACTTATCTACATTGAAATTCCTTTGATCAGCTGAAAATCCCGACAATTTCTGCGGAAAATGGGTTCTTGTTAACATTGTGCATGTCGCGACGCGCAGTCTGCAACTGTCGAAATAAAATTTACACTTGATTGATTTCATTACTTTCAACTCCCGTCTATTGCTAAAATCAGCATATTTATATCAACAACTGAAGTTTTACGGACAGATATAAAATAATGACAAAGCCCAGTATTTTCCAGTGTATTTATGGTTAGCAAGTTGAGGTCCTCTCGACTAATAAACCATGATTTCTTGATACGTTGCGTGATGGTGCAGTTTCCGTAGACTCACAAGTTTAAAAGGACTAAATATTTTCATTTGCCTTCAAACTTCACGCTAAGCATTTTCAAAAGCTAATTTCTAAAAGTATAATTTACATACAGTTTTCTCAGCTGGAAGCACGAATATTAGCTGGCATTTGCAATCGGAGCTGATTTATCGTAAACAAACTCCGTGCAATCAGCGACCGATTCTAATATTTCCGCTGAGGAATAAAAGTAGACAACATTTCTATTGCCGTTCCTTGGTTCAGGCTTACTCTAAGGGCTTTAGAGTACTTTTCCGAACAATTTCAACTGGAATACAGACTGAAGTTTTCATGAAGGGGG